GAAATCACTAAACTGTAAGTTTTTATATATAATTAATAACATAGATGCATTTTAATTATATTATTTGTAAAAATATAAAATTTATAATATTTGATTAGTTATTGAAATATATTTAAAATATATTTTAAGTTATATTTCTCATTTTATATTTACGTTAAAGATATTTTGCTATTTTCTCTTAACTTATTTTTAACAAAAAAAACAAAGCAAAAAACTTAATCTATAATAGTATTTCATAATATATATTTTGACATATTTTGATATATACTTCAGATATTTAATCTTTCTTAATATATACATTTTTATATATGTACATATTTTTTCTACTTTTATATCTAATTATATCTTTTTTCCAATATGTTTCTGCAATGTTTCTAATTCTATTTCTGTTTTGTGTAGGAACACATCTAGAAGGATGCATTTCTCAAGCATAAAGTTTCAAGTAGAAACTCCAAAGAAGAAAAAAATTAAAAAACGAAATTTAAAATTACAAGCAGAAAATAGAATGCTGCGCGAAAGAATTAGATGGCTCCAAAGAAGAATAGAGAAGATGGAAACACAAGATAAAATAAGAAAGATCTCAAAGAACGTGAAATTTTCGTCAACTAAGTTGTAAGGGCCGTGGCACATAACAAAACTTAAGCAGTAAGCGAATTAGCCAATCACAGTCGAGAACGTAAGGCAATAACATAAGCAGTAGCAAATCCGTTAATAACGTTGATTTCCTTATTGCTTAAGTTTTTTTATGTGCCACGGCCCTAAGTTACCCACAATTTTTATGTACAAAGCTTGATGCCCAAATTAAAAGCAAATATGGGAAAAGATACTTCTGAATTTAAACAATTTGCACTACGATTATATTTTTTAAGTCCACGAAATTATCGAGAACTTAAGAATAAACTATTCGCATTACCATTTATTTGTAGTCTCTAATTATTCATGCAAACAAATAATAAATTAACTGGACATACCAAAAATTCTGTTTGTCTTGTTGATGAATTAGAAATATTATATATATTTGATACGCCTTACTTGATGAAAAAAACGCGATAATTTATACAAACCTCGAATACAATTTGAAATAAACAAAGTTACATCATAGGCTTATATTGCGGAATTTTACAATAGAGGTAGTAAATAATGGATGAACCGTTCCTAAGCTAATTAAAAATCATATTGAATCTATCACTCAAAAAATAAAAATCAAATATGCCGTTTAAATTTTTGATAACTATGTAGCTGCGGGAATGTGTACACAAATGTTTTTTGGTTTTCTTCCTAGTGAAGCAATTGATTTATTGATCATTTTGATAAATTATTTAATGTTCTAAATTCTTTTACAATAAATAGTCCCAAAGAATATGGAAAAGTATTTACCGGAAGCCAAAAACAATTAAAACAAATTTTTAGAACCAATGATATATTTTTTGAAAAGTATAAATGTAATTAATAAAAATAATTTATGTGTTAAACTGTTTTAAATGCTGACAGATAACAATTAGAAGTGTAATGCTTGCTTTGTAAGAAAACTTTGTAAGAAATTAAAATGTGATTTTCCACATTTACGCACACGAAGAATAAATCAAGACTATATTGAAAATTTTTTGGTTCCATTAGACAACAGGATGGTAATTGTTTGAATTCTACACTAATATAGTTTATTCGCACTTTTAAAAAAATTGTTCAACATGAAAGTTTTACAACATACAGATACGCAAAATTGTGCTAAAGACTGATACAATCAAATTTAATTGGGACACCATATTCGAATTCTTTATCTGTGTTCATTCCATCTTCAGTCATATCTACGCGTCCAATTTTAGATATCCCTTTTAGATGTAGATTTAGATATTAAAATCATGATTGTTATAATATGAATTTACCAGAAAAAAATGCGTTTAGATATGTATGCAGATACATAATTAAAAAATGTTCAAAAATACATATATGTATAACGTGTACTATTTATCTTAATGAAAACGACTGTTATAGATGATACTAGTTTATATTATTCTTTTTGAGCTTTTACTACCAAAAAAGAAAATCCACTTGAAAATTTACAAGTAGCAAATTATAATTTTTGTTCTTACATTCACAAATTAGAAAAAATGTTTGAAAGTAATTGTTTCCAAAAAATATTAGAAATTATTTATTTCAATTTTCCCAGGCGAAATAGAACATTTTAGTGCAGTCTGTGCAGTTCAATTTCGTACACGTGATCATCAAAAGTGCCGACAGCGTATTGCGCTGCTGTATGTACTCGGACCTAACTTAAAAATTTTGTTTATCTCGAACATATAATCTTAAGAAAACATGAAAAGAAAAAGAAAAGAAAAATAATAGAACATGAAATAAAATAAATGCTTGTCTACACATATAAATAAAATATTATAATTAATGTTTTGATATTATTTAAACTAACGGTTTTAAAAGAAAATTTCAAAAATAATTCTAAAATACTAATGTAATATGTATATTAATTATTTGTATAAGGCTGGTTGCACACATGATGCAGCAAAGCGGCAACGCGGTAGCCAATCACCGTCTTGTTTTCTAATATGTAACAAAATTATATTAGAGAGAAGCTTAAGAGCGGACATGCCCATGATTTAGCTGTAACTTTATTTTGAAACGCCTCTATGTCCATAAAAACGTGAATATTGAACTACGTAGCTAATCCATGATTTTGTAATGTCCACGAGGGTCACAGCACACACTTCTGTATAACGCATAATGCATTACGCATAAGAAAATGAACCAATCAGAATTTTTCATTTCCATTTTAGGAGTAGAATAAAAATTATGATTAGTTTATTTTTTTATTATGCATTATGCATTATGCGTTATGCAGAAGTGTGTGCTGCGGCCTTAAGGATGACGATAATGTTACCTGTAAGAATTAAACATCTTGATTCTTCATTATTTGCACGGTTGGTTATTCAATATTTTGTGCCATACAGAAGAAGGAATAAGAAAATAAAAGAAATGGATACCAAAAAGCGTGAAAGTTACATTCTTTTAGACTACAATCTTATCACAAGCAAGCATCTAATTTTTCGTCTTTTATATTGGTATTAATAAGAACCCTTAATTCACTTCATTTGAAAGTTGTTAACTTTGACTATACAAGTATGGACTAGCCCCTCACTTTTCTCATGTTAATGCCTGTTGTCACCAACATGAATCGAGATATTTCGAGATTTACGCTCCACGCCATGTCTCAAATAGCAGATAATTAAAAAAATAAGAATTTCCGTAAACGAACAAATATATTTTATTAACATTTTATAAAAATTGTGTAATAATTTATAAATCATGTACTGATTAAAAATAAATATAAAATATATAAAAATATTATTATTATC